CTGCCCAATATCCCATCCAGCCCTGTCCTCTGGCAGTGGAAGCCATTCCCTGTGTCCTGTCCCTCCATGCCTTGTCCCCAGTCCCTCTCCAGCTCTCCTGGAGCCCCTTTAGGCCCTGCAAGGGGCTCTCAGCTCTCCCTGGATCCTTTTCCTCTCCAGGTGAGCACCCCCAGCTCTCCCAGCCTGTCCCCAGAGCAGAGGGGTTCCAGCCCTGTCACCAATTTAGTGGCCTTGTCTGGACTCATTCCAAGACGTTCTCATCTTTCTGGGACCCCAGAGCTGGACACAGAATTCCAGGTGAGGTCTCTCGTTTAGTTGAGCACTGCTGGGAAGATCAGCCTGGCTCAGTCTTCATCACCTTCTCCTCTCATCCCCTTGCCCCACATCCCCCTGGCTGCCTCTGCATCCTCCTTGTCACCAGAGCTCTGCAAAGCCCCTTTTAATGTCACAGCAGTGAGGCAGAGCCTGATGTTGTGCAGAGGGGTCCATGAGCAGCCCAGATGCTCAAGTCCCTTGGGGTCTCATCCTCCCAGCCAGGAGGGCTCCTGCTCCAGACCCTTTGCTGGGCTCACACCCACCTTGTAGTAGCTGTCATCAGCTCCCAGAGCCTTGGAGAGCCCAAAGTCACTGATCTTGGCGTAGTGCTGGTTGACCAGCAGGACATTCCTGGCTGCCAGGTCCCTGTGGACAAAGTTCTTTTCCTCCAGGTACTTCATCCCCATGGACACCTGGTGCATCAGCTCCACGATGTTGCTCGTTGTAATCTCGTCCCTAGGGAAGGTGAAAGGAGAATTCAGTAATAAAGGACCTGCTGTGGTCCCCTCTGCCTTTTCCAGCTGCAAGGGAGAATAAGCAGGGAGATCTCTGCTCCAGAAGCATCAGCCCCTGGAGCCTCACATCAAAGATTTCTTTCTGCTCTTTTCAGCTTCCCTGCACTGTCTGAGGTTGCAATACACGATGTGACCAGGGGTGTGTATTCTATCACCAACTGTTAATCCAGCTGTTGCAGTATTCTTTATCTTTTCCACATCCCATCCTCCCTCCAGGAGATCTCTCCTGTTCATGGCCATGGAGTCCCAGTGCATGACTGATAAAATTACATCATCCCATTGGGAGATGCTCCAGCCAGGGGAGGAGCCAAACATTTCCTCCCCAGATAAAATCTGAAATGTGGAACAGCAAATCAGCCTCTTCCCACTGGATCCCAGAGGAAAACCAGAGCCTTCCACATCATCCCTGGAGGTTTGGAGGAAAACTGCACCTTGTGCAGGAGCCCTGCTCCAGCAGAACCACATCTGTCACTGCAGGAGGATGCAGCCACCATGGAATGGGACTGCACCAACCCTGACTGACTGACGGGGGGCAGCTTGGATTCTCACTCTGGCAGTGTTTTGGGCTTGTTTTTTTGTAATACTGTACTTCTAGTTTAATTTTTCCTAGTAAAGAACTGTTATTCCTATTCCCATATCTTTGCCTGAGAGCCCTTTAATTTCAAAATTGTAATAAAATAATAAAAATAATTTAAAAAATAAAATTATAACATTATAATGATTCTCCACTTTAAAAAGAGGCTCCTGCCTTTCTTAGCAGACACCTGTCCTTCAAACCAAGACATGCACCTACAAGGGTGGGCTTTTGAGGTAGTTTTGGAGTAGAAACACAGAAAATCAGCCACGTTTTATCCAATACTCACTTCTTGGAAGCCAAGAACCTGTTGAGGGGCCCTCCAGAAGCCATCTCCATCACAAGCATCAGCGACTCAGCCTCGCACACCCCGATCATGCGCACAATGTAGGGGTTGTCCAGCTGGTGCATGATCTGCGCCTCCTTCATCATCTCATCCTTCACTGTCTTCTCGTTGTTGCTCTTCAGCACCTTGATGGCCACATCAATCTGCTTCCTGCACAGGGAAACAGCCATGGGATGGGCTGAGCACAGCTGGAATCAGGGCTCACAGCCAGGAATGGAAATCCCTGCTCATGTGACACTGTTTGACCTCTCACAGCCTGTTCTGGCAGAGCCCTGCAGCATTCTGGTGTCAAGGATGGAGAGAAAAGGTCACCTCACCCTTGTGGGTGCAGGCCAGAAGTTGCCATCCTTGATCTGGAGACACCTCCCCTCCCGCACTGAGATCTGGGCTATCAGTGCCACTTTTCCAGGAGGAAACTGAGGCACAAGTAGGTGAAGACCATCAGCAACAGACAACCAGCAACAGAGCCAAGGGTGCCACAACTCCTCAGTGTCACTGCTTTGGCCTGGCACGGACAAGAGGTGGCCTCAGGAATGTGGAGTTGCTCCTCCAGCAAGTCCCTTTGGAAGTGGCAGCTGTGTGCCTGGGAATGTGCTGCAGCTTTCACACCCAGGGCAATGCAGCTGTCAGTGAAAATCCGTGGAATTACAGCATTGTATCATGGATATCATGGGATTGTTGAGGTTGGAAAAGACCTGCAAGATCATCAAATCCAACCCCAAACACTGCCATCCTCACTAAACCCCACTATAAAATCTCCTCATTTTCTGAACACTTCCAGGGCTGGTGCCTCACCCATCACATCCATCATCCCTGACCTTCCAGATCATTTCTTATCCATTCCCTTGTCACTTTGGGGTCCATCCAGTGACCAGCAGGACAGCTGGGGACACCTCGAGCCCAGCCCAGCTCCCTCTCCTGTCCCTTCCCCAGCACCCTCACTCACTTCCTCATTTTGTAAACTCCCTTCTTGACACAGCCGAAGTTTCCTGCCCCCAGCTCCACCTCATCAATCATCAGGTGGTCCCTCTTCAGGAACAGCTTCTTGTCCTTCAGCTCCTCGGGGTCGCTGTAGGGGCTCTCGTACACGCTGGTGTCCATGGGCAGCAGCCGGGATTTTCCTGCCCCTTCCCAAGAGGAACCCTTGGTTATGAACCTGCCCTTCCCCATCCCGTGTCCCTCATGAATTGGGAAAGGTTTCTCTGCTCTTTTGGTCAATTCACTTTCACTTCCAGCATTTCTCATCCCTCCTGGGCATCTCCCTTCATTTACAACCCAGGGCCACTCCCAGTCCTGGTTGATGAAGGAGGTGAGGTGGGGAGAGGGATCTGGCCATTCCCACCACACAAACCCTGCAGGGGTCTGAGCATTCCCACTCCACATATCCACCCTGCCAGCCCTGGGCAGGGCTTCACCCCACTGAAATTCAGCTGAATTCACTGAGTATTTAGTGGAAAATGGGGATAGGACAGGGCTTCATTTCCTGGCTAAGGCAGGGAAGGGGGTAGGGCTTGATTTCCTGGGAGCCCGGTGTGGGTGCAGGACCCCAAAATGTCTGGGGTGCTCCTGGGCGCTTTTGCTTCATAGCAGGGGTCCAGGGAACCCCCAGGCTCCTGGGACATCCCCAGTCCTGTCCCCTGTGAGGAGCAGAGGGCTCTGGAGGTGCTCACCAACAGGGTCTGGGGTGTATCCATCTGCATTGAGGGGGCCCAGGTTTCTCTGGAAAAGAAATGAGGAGAAAGTGGATAAAGGAGAAATTGCTTCAGTTGAAAATGGAGGGAAAAGAGACAGGGAAGCTGCACCCCAACACAGCCCCAGCTTCACCCCAAACACAGCCCCAGCTGTGCCCCAAACACAGCCCCAGCTTCACCCCAAACACAGCCCCAGCTTCATCCCAAACACAGCCCCAGCTTCATCCCAAGCACAGCCCCAGCTTCACCCCAAACACAGCCCCAGCTGCACCCCAAACACAGCCTCAGTTTCATCCCAAGCACAGCCCCAGCTTCATCCCAACAGCCCCAGCTGGTGATCCCTCTGAAAGGCCCTGAGGGAGGCTGAGATTGGAGTGGTCTGGAGCCAACATTGCTGTTCCAGTCTTGGCTGCAGCTCCCCCAGGGCAGGGCACAGCAGGGATTTGGGGCCAGGGACTGTAAGGCAGGGACCCTTCTCCCAGGGGCTGTGCAGGGTGAGGCCTCTGTCCCCTCTGCTGTCCCCATCCCAGTTTACAGTGAGCCAGGAAGGGCAGGGGAGCCTGGAGGCAGCACAGGCAGAGTGGCCTTGGGAGCACCCAGGGACACTGCACAGCCACTGTCCCCAGAGCAGAGAGCAACAGGGTGGCACAGCTTGGAACGCCAGAGTCACAGAATCCCAGAATATCCTGAGCTGGGAGGGACTGTCAGGGATGATGAGTGCAGCCCCTGTCCCTGCACAGACCCCCCAACAATCCCACCCTGAGCATCCCTGAGAGCGCTGTCCAAACGCTCCTGGAGCTCTGGCAGCCTTGGGGCCGGGACCATTCCCTGGGGAGCCTGGGCAGTGCCCAGCACCCTGGAGGTCACCGTGGATGTGAGAGCACCCTGAGGTGATGGGTGAGCCCCCAGGCCTCACTCAGCCCCCCTGGGATCCCCAAACCCGCCTGGTTTCAGCACAGCTCAGCACTCAGGGGCTGAGCAGGGACATTCCCTGGGGCACAGGGAGCACAAAGCCCTGGCTGGGGGCCAGCAGGAGCAGCAGGGCTGAGCATTCCCAGAATCCCAGCACAGCTCCCTCGCTGCTGCCTGGCCAGCAGGGCAGGGATGGAGGGTCCCCAGGGACAGGCCCACATGTTGCAAGGAGCTCAGGATGAATGGAAACCCTTCTCAGCTCTACCAGGGGCTGTGGCCAGCTATTCCCCACCCCCATCCAAGCTGGAAAGGGAACAACATCCCAGCTGGGCTTAATAAAGTCCAGTGCAGTTCCTGAGCTTTTTAGACAAAAGCAGGGTTTGAAGAACAGAGTTTGATCAGCCAAGCTTGAAATGCAGCAATTTTAAAACCACTGAGGTCCCAATAAAACAGAGCCTCCCCCAGACTTACGCTCACGGAGGGGTGGGTGGGTGGAACTGGTGCTGCAGAGGCTGTGAAACAGGAGAGAGGATTTGTTATCAGGAGTTTATTATCAGGAATTTGTTACCAGGAGTTTGCCCTAAGCAGGGTCAAAGCATCAGTCCTTGAAGGATCCTGTGGCCTGATCACATCCCCTTCACCCCCCAAAGGAAAGTTTCCACAGCTTTAGCCTAAAAAGGTGTGGAAATGTGTCTGGATGTGGCTGTTCCCAAATTTTCTCAGGGAAAATGCCACCACTGGAGCACCCCCGGGTCCAGGGGCAGAGACTGAGCTGTGGCCCAGGACAGGGCAGGCTCTGAGGTGACATTTGTGACATGTGCACCCAAAGTGCCCCCTGGATGTGAGTGTTCAGAGAGCCAGCAGTGCCCAGCCTGGCAGGACATGGATGTTCCTGCTGCCTAAAACCCTAAAAATCAGGTCATGCTCCAAATCCATCTGTTGGGCACCAAATCCATTTGGCCACTGACTCCCCCCACCTGCTCTTGCCTTTGGGCCACCTCAGGCCAGGCCTGGCCAGTGACAGCACCAAGGGAGACTGGCCCAGGTTGCCAGAGGGGCAGAGCCCTCCCTGGGCACAGGAAGGGAAATTGGGGCTGGCACTGCTGCAGCTGGCACCAGTTGGTGGCAAAGCAAGGCCAGGGGTGGCACTGAGAGCTGTCAGCTCACCTGGCATGTTGGGGTTGGGGCAGGCTTCCCTCAGGTAGAAAATCAGCCCGTCTGGTTTGAGTTTTAAGTACTCCACCAACTGGGAAAGGGATGGGAGGAAAAAGAGATAATTGTGAGGAGAAAATAATCTTTTTTTTTTTTTTTTTTCCCCCTATTATTGTTGAAGGCAACTTTTGTGGCTTAGGGCAACGATTCCTCTCAGATTTATGGCAGGCAGGGACCAGACTGTTTCTCTGTTTCTGTCCTCTATTTGTGCACTCAGGGATGTCCCAGGGTGTGATTGCATCCCTGGATATCTGCCAGAGCTGGGAAGAACTTGGGAAATTCGATAAGACCCCAAAAAAAGACAAAAATCTCCAGTCTGAGTAGGGCATGTTATTGTTGTGCCAGCCAGGAAGGGTTTTAGCCCTGAAGTGTGGGATAAATCCTGGGAGAATCAGATCCTTTCCCAGGGGAACTCCAGGGTCTGTGCTGGGGATCCCAGGCAGTTGTTGGTGGATCCAGCACAGAGGGGACATCAGCCAGGCTGGGGACAGCCAGCACCAGCCCCCAGGGACCCCAGGCTTCCCCTTCCCCTCCTGGCTGGCTCAGGTTTCAGCTGCAATCAGAGCCTGGCACGGTTCTGTTGCCATAAAAATGCCCCCAAATCTTTGTTTTCAATAAAATTCTGAGTGAAAACAGCCCTGGGAATTCAGAAAATTCAGCAAAATGGGGTTGCTGTCCCACAGACAGCCCTAGCCAGGAGGAAGCTCCAGCATCCACTCCCTGGATAATTTTAGTTAATGGTTTAACTCTTAAATGACTTGCTTTAATTAATTAATCCCAACCAATATATGTATTAATTATAAATAGTGTGTTATTCTTCAATTAGTCTCAGCCTGTATGGAACAAGGTTGCCATGAGCTGATTTTGCAGGAGCACAGCTCGGGAAAATTGCTGGAATTTTAAGTTTTGATTAACTAAATCTGATATACTCCAATGAACAAAGCCTGGGAGAGGAAGATGGATTGAGGTTGGACATCTGGAATGCAGAATTTATCGACCAGAAGGAGACTTTGGAGAAACCAGAAGAAAAAGAAGAGACAAAAAAGATTCAGTTTAGGCATTGGAGAGTCCCTGCGGGAGAACAAAAGGATTAAAAAGATTAAAAATATGGTGTAATTAGCAGAAAAAGAGAAATTAATATTCAATAGATTATAGAATACTAATTAATGCAAGAGAATTAGCACATGGACTATTCTGAGCTGGAAGGATCAATGGTGATGATTAAAATTAAGTGATGGGGGTTAAACCCACAACCGTGGTGTTATGATGTCATTTAGAACCAATGAACATTAATTTCTTTTTCTATATAAATGATTATAAATATGTAAATATAAATAATAGAAATATGAATAATATATAAATGTAAATATAAATATAAAGTGATAAAGTTTTAGATCAGGATCTGTGTGGAGGCCAGAATTTTATCAGCCACGCACACAAACTCTGGCCAGGAATAAAACAATTCCTGGCTCACTGACACTGAAAAGGTGATGTTAGAGAGGTTTATTTATCCTGGTGATTTTGAGGGATTTGGTAACACTTCAAAGCAAGGAAAAGGTGCCTCAATTTCTGAGGACACCCAGCCTGGTACCTGCCAGAGTGTGTCAAACTTGGTGCCCTCAGGAATGGAATATTTCCCAGATTTATCGTGATCCACCCGGTAGTGATACACAGTCTTGCCATAGATGAGGGACAGGGCATAGGCACGGTTCTCCTTCTTTTCTCTCAGCCTGGCAGGAAGGAAAATTATTCATTAATTCTTAAAAGCAGCTCTTGGTTTTACTCTGAGGATTGTCAGTGTAGGTGGAGAGTGGGCACGTGGAGAGGTGTCCCTGCATCCCTGTATAAAATGCATGAATTATATATATTCCAGTCCAAAATAAAATGCAAGAGGCTGTCTGGAGCTATTTTAAAATTTAAATGACAGACCTGATCCAGTACCTGCTGCCTCAGGTGAAAAAACCCTCCATTAAGGCAAAAACCACCAGAGAGGCCCAAACTCCACTCTAAACATTAAGGCAGAGCTGACCAAAAGCCTGAAGCTGGGTTCAGTGGAATTGTCACCTTCCCAACCCCCTCTGCAGAGGCTGAGGAGGGATCTTCACCTCCAGTTTTCACCCCTCTCACAGAACCAGAGAATCTCAAAATCGTTTCAGTTTGAAAAGACTTTAAAGTCACCCTGTTCCTGTTCCTTCCACTGTCCCAGGCTGCTCCAATCCCAGTGTCCAACCTGGCCTGGGACACTGCCAGGGATCCAGGGGCAGCCACAGCTGCTCTGGGCACCCTGTGCCAGCCCTGCCCACCCTCCCAGGGAACAATTCCTGCCCAATATCCCATCTAAACCGACTCTTAATTTCAAACCATTCCCCCTTGTCCTATTGTTCCAGCTCCTGAAGAACTGTTCTCCAGCTAATTCTTTCTTTCCCTAACTCATCCAGGAGAAAACTGAATTATATTAGGGATGTCTCATCAGAGCAGAGATGCAGAGAAAAATTTTCTCCTGTGTTTTCTGGGCCTTGCATTGCCAGCCTGTCAGTGTTTCATATCTTCCCCCACTGAATCCTGTGTCCCTCATCGTCCTGTGCACAGCAACCAAACTTCATAGTGATATTGAAACATAAGAAACAAATAAAACTCCAGATTGCCTCTTCATGGGAGGGGCAGACACTGGACAAGAACAGATTTGGGGCTCAGCCCATGTTTGAAATATCTGTAACCACTCTGAGCACATTCAGCTACACCTCCTCTGCCACGTGAAACCAGTATGAGCAGGGGTGGGGAATGGTAAAAAATCCAGGGATCCCAGCATGTTGCAGGGGTTTGGATACTCACAGGAATTTCCCATCAGGCTGTGCCCCCGAGTAGAGCCTCCTCTCTGCCTCCTCCCGGCTGATATTGCCGTGGTACCAGGGCATCCTCTCGTGGGCTGTGGTGGCCACGAGCTTCTCCACCTGGGGGGCCTGGCTGATGATGGCCTGTTCCAGGGCATCCCCCTGGGAAAGAGCAGCAAAAGGGACCTGCTGCCATCCTGCTGCTCTGCTGATGGCTTCAGCACAGCTCGTCTGGGCCACGACACAGGAAACTTGGAACATCTATCATTGAGACCCAACAGTGGCTGAATTCTGTTCTGCTGCACAGCAGAATTGCTGCCTTATCTCAGCTGACCTAATCCCTTAAATCCAGCTGAAGTCCTTTGACGTTGGTGAGGGAAGAGAGAAGACACCACGTTTATGTGGGGATCTTAATGCTGGGCCTGTGGGGTTTCATTCAGCCTTGTGTTCCTGGTGGGTGGCAAGTTGGATCTGAGTCACTGCTGGCAGCCCAAAGGGCCACC